GATTGAGAAAGTCTTCAAAACGGAGCCCAGCGATTTTTAAGATCAACAATTTTTTCTTCTTCTTCTCCCCGTCTTGCAAACAAACATTCGACATTGAAACATACACAGAAAAAAGTGGCTAGTTTCCTCACAGCTTACGACCATAATTGTAAGATGTTAATCTCGACAATAAACAATCTAAAATACATGCTTGAAGACGACAATGACAAAGCAAATTCATCTACGGAAGTGAGTGCAAACAATAAAAACCGGTATCTCTTCTAGCTCGTGTTATGTCTACAAGATTAATCTTTAGTTTACATCAATCTATTGAATGGTAATGAGATGCAGATGATTTTATCTTTTAGTCCAATGTTTCCCAAACTTATGACTTTTGTGTATCCTTTCTAAAATTTTCGCAACGCTGCGGACCACTCATAAAAAAATGAATGTAGTTTTTACTGTAAAAAAATTGCACAAAAGTTAAAAATCACAACTGGCTGTTGACACCACTCATTATTAACTGGTTTACTCTGGCAATAGCCAATAGAACAATACGTCATCGTAAATTTTCAAGGCTAGCTTTGTTTTTAAATAAAATTTTTTGAAATTTTCGTTTGTTGCGAGATATTTCACATAAGAACGCGTACCCCCGCTAAACAGTTCCCGTACCCCTGAGGAAACGCATACCACAGTTTGGGAAACACTGTATAGTCCGTCATAACTCGTCCACGGTGCGTAGCCAAATCTTTCAACAAGAAATAGACACCTTTTAAGTACTTTTTAAGCACTAAAAATATTTTAAAACCCTACATACATTAGCGAAATGCAAAATAATTTACAAAGACTTTACATGATCATGATAAAATAACTAGTTTTTGACATGATAAAGTAACTCTTTTTCTTGATTATACCAGCCACCATAAAAAGGGAAATTTTTTAAACACAACAAAATCAACTGAATGAAAATGGTGACTACAAAAAANCTTAAAAAAAAAAAAAAAAGAAAGAAAGCACGCGTGTGTTATTTATTTTTTAAAAAAATTTATTACTAAACAAAGCACAATCGAAATGTTTTGATAACGACTGTTTAGGGAAAATATATGTTTAAGTCAAATACAGTAGAACTTTTACGAATTTTTTAGGAGATTTTTTTGGAGGAACTAAGAACATTTTGGAAAATATCTTCGTAAAATAATTTCCAAATGGCGAAAAGAATTTACTATTTAAAGAACTTTTCTTTAATATCCACTTTCCCTATTTCCCAAAATATTTCAGAACATTTCAAAATTGTTATCGCATTTTATGGGGGAAATGACCTTGAATTGAATTTCGAAGCCACTTCACTTTTAGAGAAAGCAGTAAAATCCCTTTCCTTTCTTGTTTGCATTTCAAACGAAAAACTCAAGATAAAATTAACGGATTTTATCAGTAGCAATTAAACTTAACACATGTGGTAATGTATGTGGAACGCATGTAGTATGTTTAAAATTACTTTTATGATATTAGATAGAGATCATAAAAGCCATAATTTTATACCTAAATGTAGTTTTTTGTAGTTGAAAATGTATGTAGCATGATAGTGTAACACTGAATAATGTTTTGCTCTATTCTTGCTTTCCAAGCTGATTCCTTTATAGTTAAGATTTATGAAATAACTAGTTGATACTAGTTTACAAGATAAACCCAGGGTGCAAAGCCAAATTTTTTACAAAAATTAAGCACCTTTTAAGCACTAAAAAAAAAAATATATTTTTAATCACTTTCCCCAAAAAAAAAAAAAAATCATAATTAGGATCTGTGCAGCAATAACAATTTTTTTTTTCTACCGTTTAAAATTCTTAATTTATAAACATAAAATCAATAAAATTAAAAAACATTTTCAAAAACTAGTTATAAATAACTTAAAATAACTAGTGTCTGATAAATATTGCAGAGAAAATTGTGAAAATCACGCATTTTTTTTGTAATTTAGAGCAACAACCGACAAGGCAAAGAAAAAATCTCTTTTCAGAGGATAAAAAATTGAGCACTTTTTACAAACCCGAATAAAAAAAAGCACTTTCAAGGGCTTTTAAAAAACGTACATCAAAAATAAGCACTTTTTAAAACCTCTACGCACCCTGTAAAGTGGTACCAATTGCTACTTTAATTATGTCTAATGTTTATAAATTTAAAAACTGTTTTGTAATGTTTAGGTATTTCAAAAGCTGATTTTTTATATACAGAATTTTCCATATAACGAACTTATTATCTAGATTTAGAGACTTCGATAAATAGAGGTCCAACTATCTTCCCTCCCAACTTGCGTTACCCAGCCAAATACATCCCTAAAAGATCAATGGCAAGGAAATAGAGGTATGCTACCGATTTGTAAGAGGTGTATTTTTTTTCTCCTCCTCAGATCTGATCGCAAAATCGATGTATCATTTCCCATTCAATTAATAACAGCGGTTACTTTTATGTTTAATGTCTTTTTTTCTCTTCTTCCTTATTCAGAGAGTGAGTTGTGGGGAAGAATTTATTCCAATGGACAGATGTTCCTAAGCGATACCTTCCATTTTAAATGACTTTCGATAATGAACTAGGGATTTTCTTTTTTATCCCCCCTCTCCTTTTATTCCTTTTTTTCCGGTTTCCCTTCCACTCCCAGGAAAATGGGATTCAGTATTGACAGGCAGGAACAGTTAAGGAAAAAAAAGAATACAATTCATTGCTTTAAGAAGTTAATTAGCTTGCACAACATCCCACAGGTAATTTCGAAAACATACCTGAAAGGAGAGCAAACAAATGTGAATCAAAATTACGAATACTTCAAATTATTTTATTTTATATCCGTCGTTGAACAGCCGACCCAACTTTGGGTCCACGACTACTAATGTTCAGCTCCACAGCCTTGTCATTTTGAACCCGATCCAGAAGACAAGGGAACTCCGGGATCAAGTATTGCTAGAAATTCGCCTTCTTGGAGGACTTTTTTGATGGAACTAACCCGCATTTGCGTTACATGGAGAGGAAGACCACGAGAACCTTCCACGGTTTACCTAACGGCAACAAGACTCTAAACCAGGGATGGGCAAACTTTTTTGGTCGTGGGCCATAACTCTCGAAAAAAATAGTTTGGTGGGCCTAGTAAAAACTTCCAAAATAAAAATTCCAACTTCCGAAATAAAATAAAGTCAATTCATCATTGAACGCATGGCACTCTACATCAACTTTGCGTTTTTAGTTGCCATTTTGGGGTTAAAAAATTTTACAAATAACTCAAAAAATCAGTAGCCATTTTATACATTTAATAATTTCACCATTATTTACAATGACGTTGTATGTGTGCAATCTTTCCATACGCAGTAAATAATGTTAGAACTCGCCCCGGCAGAAAAATACGCTCGTTGGAACTTAAAAATGTGTAGTCTGCCTCATGTGAAGTACAATTCACCTATATTAGATTCCATATGTCAGCTCCTCGAGAAAGACAAACACTAGTTGGAGCTAATCTACGGCTATTCTATAAGGCTTTCAACATTTTACCAATTGAAGCTGTCTGTGCTAACTATTTCCATCAATTTATGTCTTGTCGAACAAAAATAGAGAAAGTAAAAGGTCATCAGTACTTTGTTAAAAAGAAAGAAAATGGACGTATAATGTATATTGTTTATATTCGCCACGGATCGGCAAGTTAAAATTCTGTCCGTGGGCCGGATAAAACCCTCCGGCGAGCCACAGTTGTTCCGCGGGTCGTAGTTTCCCCATCCCTGATCTAGACGTAACCTTTCCAAACCAATGGATTGGGCGAGGTGATCCCATAGCTTGGCTACCGTGCTCGCCAGATCTTTCATGTCTGGATTTCTTTTTGTGGGGACAGCTGGAGGCTCTTATGTATTAGACTCCCATTGAATCTGCAGAAGAACTTTCGGCCGCTGCAGGGAAAGTTCGTGATATGACTGGGTGTGTTTCAGAATGTTAATCTATCTTTTTTTCCCCGTTGTACTGCGCGCATAACCGCTGCCGGCCACTGTTTTGAACACTTTCTTGTAATCACATGCCATTAAATTTGCTTTTATAACTTAACTTCATCGTTATTTGTGTGTTTTTGCCTCATATAAGAACATAAACTTTGACGCCCTCTAGCGGTTTTGCGCTTTGTTTTCGACCATACATTGTTTGATAAAAATTGTTTGGCTTGGGTGTGTACTTCCACTTCCTAAAATTTTGCCCATCTTTTTAGAATCACCCTGTATATATA